CTTCCTGTCCCCAACTACTTTCTTCCTAGGAACATCTTCAGTCCCATCCCTCTTCCTTCCTCCCCACTTTCATCCAGGTCCATAGGTTTGTCTTCGTTGCAAGTCCCAGCAACCTTGGGGGTTTGTCCAGGACATAACAGGAAGCATATCAAACACTGGTTTGAGCAGAGGCGGTGCTTCATCCTCAATCTTCTTTCTCGCCAAGAAGACATGGGAATGGGAGTTATCACATTCTTTCATTCCAGTCTTTTTTCTCATTACATTTGAGTCCAGTTCTTTACTTAAGTTTCTAAATTCCATGTTAATCTCCCTGGCATTTCTTGTCCATCTCTGTGCCTCCCACTCTTGTCATCCACATGAGTACCAATATGCTGGCCAGATGTCTTATTTCCCTGCCACTTCATCACCTTGAACACAGTACTCAGATGTCCCTGGTTCTTTAATTCCTCCCTACCCCAGAAGTTGTTTTGACCTCATTGTTTTTGTAAACATCCAAATATCTTTCAGGAGTCAGGAATGTCATAAGCAGTTGAGTAAATAAACAAAAACAAATTTAAAAATAGACTATTTTCCTGTTGTGTGCAAGCCAATTGAGAGTTAATCTACTCGTTGTACTGTCTTGACTGACTCTACTTGAAGTCTTGATCTGCACTTGATCTTGTCCTTTTTCTGTTTGCCTCCCAGGACCTGTAGCATCCTTACCTTGTTGCTGCCAAAAAGATCTGCTTTCATACTTTGCTTCCTCTCCACTCATAAACCCACAACATTCAGCTGCTTAACCCAATGACTCTCAAATTATACATGTGTCTCATTGTCACCCAGGTGTCCCCTGTAAACTACAAATAATGGGAATCTTCTGTTACACAGAAAAATTAAATGAATGGATTGAATTTTTCTCATTTTCATGTTCTTCAATAGGTCTTTTAGTCATAGCACACAGATAAAGCCAAAACACTCAATGGGCCAAAGAGTAAGTAGTCATTTTTTTTTTTACTTAACCAATGTTTGTGGTTTGGGATTGATATGAAATTAAAAGCAGGTTCCCAAACAGGAAAAAGATTTTAATATTTTTATGGTCACACTATGGTCTCTTGAACATTTTGGAATGTGATATAATAAAATAAAATATTAAAAGCAAGCTACTATATATAATATATTATATATAATTAATATACAGCTAGTACAAATACATATATTTTTGGTCATCAAATATATACAAAATATAAATAGTCATCTCCCTCAAAACACATACACACATAGGAGTATTACTCATGGAGTGATTCCTTCTGTTAGTGAATATTTATAATTATAATATGTTTTACCTTATAAATGAGAGCAATAATATTCTCTACATCACGCTAATCCTTCTTTTCTTTTAGCTCATTTTGCTTTCTAGTTTGAAATATAAAAATCTATATGTCTTTGATTAAAATAAAAAGTCTCTTTCTGTTAATAATCAGAATTATTAACCGAAAGACAAGGCTAAGACAAGAATTCCTTTGGAAATATGCCTAGAAGACCCCATGAGTATCTGGTAACACTTAAACCTCCACTAAATATCCTATTATTTATTTATCAAATAACGTATCTTTTTATGTCAGGCTTTACAATAACTCACTCCGCAGCATTAGGCAGACATATGGATTGTTTAATGACATTGGCATGTCTTATGTCTCCAGAGGAGTTTGCTGCCATGGCATCCACACACTATAAAGAAATTATAGATGCATTTTTTGGATATAGAATACATTTTGGAATGACAGCCTGGCTCAGTTCCATGATCTAAAAATGAATGATAAAGCTTTTTCAAAGGATCTTGGTTAAGAAAAAAATTCTAAAATACTGATTTATAGAGATCCTTGAACTTGTTTTAGTTACTGGAAATTTAGTATCCCTGGTAACTTATTCTGATAATCTAGGTGATACTCACTATTCTATTTGCTGCTTTTCCAAACCAATAATGTGGAGAGATGCTTATAATAACTGTTTTCCTTAATCCCCTACTGCACTGATAAAGGTGATTTTCTGAAATCAAGAGGAAAAAGGCATTCCAAGTAATCACTGATGATAACGATTGCTGGACAGACTTCAGACATCTAAAAATAGGAGGGCATTAGTTCCTGCCTACACAAAAAGAATCTGATGTCAGCAGTGTCAGAAATGCAACCTAACCAGAGCAAAAACACCCCATGGGGTTATATAACTCACTGGAGTCATTTTCAGGTTCTGCATGTAAATTGTATAAAACTCCCAACAATAAATCCTCAGGATACGGGGATGATTGGCAGGCTGCAAAGCTTTTTCTTTAGACTCAAACAGTTCTTTGATACAAACAATATTTTTCATTTCAAAGGTAATTGTTGGTAGCCAATAGGCACTGATAGTCCCATGTGGGTAGCACAATAAGTACATTGCCTTTCAAAAAACAGTATTGCTTTTCATGTGATAGAGACCATTTGTGCAATTGAAAACCCATTCAGAAAGCACACTGATAGACAGACCCTTTAAAATTCCAAGATGTAAATGTATTGAAGTGCACTATCAGACAGACTCTCACACAAAGGCTCCTTGGAAAATAATTTAATATATATATTCAGCTATTATTATATTTACTTTTTTGGCAATAATTTCTTTTCCTTTATTTTCCAATACACTTAGTGGAAAACCTCAGCTGTGTTTCAGCTGAAACAAAGGCAAGCCACAACCACAAATTTCTGATTTTATCATTATCTCAAATGTTTCTCACAGTTCCATTTTTGTTTCTTACCAGAAATTTGTAACTAACCTAAAGGAACCAAGATGAAAAATAATTTTATAACCTATCTTGGCCCAAAAATATCCAGGAAATTAGATTTTCAAGTAAATCTTACAAATCATCTCTTTATCTTTCAGGGTGAATTTTACATTAAATGACAAGTGGATTTTTTTGTTTTTATTTAATTTCTACTAACACTTTTCTTGGAGAGAGTAGATCAGTAAGAGAGATCTTCAGTCTGTGAAATATTTTAATATTTGTGCTTATTGGCAGAGCCAAAGAAAACATACAATAGTAGAGTATTGCAAAATTAACTATTAAAAAGCATACAGTCAAGAATAAAGGATTTTGCATCATCATTCATCAAGAGATTAACCATAATCCTATTAAGAAATCAAAGTACATTTCTAAAAGAATTCTGCACTCAAACCTCTCAGTGATCAGTTTTCTGAAAGAAAATCAATTTTTACATCACATCCAGAATCATCTTTAATGAATCTCTACAAAGCTATTGACAGCTATGCAATTAATTAAAATCATAAAATTTCAATGACAATCTTGAGCCATTATTTAATCAATCCTTATAAAATGAAAAATGAAAAGCTTATTTAACTAGGCCTTGGTACCTTGAAAGAACTAGGTCACAATGATAAAAACAGTGCAGAAATTCATTTTTTTTTCTGCATTGAGTTACAGTATGACCTTAAACTAGTTGCTTAATCTTGGGGTTTGTGACTTTTTTTCTGTAAAAATGAGTCCTAAATCAACAGAAATGACAGAGGGATAAAGATATCATTTTCCTAAAAGCACCGACAACTATTGAGAAATTCATGCACTAAAATTAAAAATCTATTTTTCAAATTAATGCATTTATTTATCTATGTGTTAGGAGGGCTTCACACTCTCTAACACAAATGTATACATTTCAAGTATAATTTTTTTATGGGTGTCTTAAGGCTCTTTCACTTTTCCCACCACAGGTTGTTTTCTTAGCTAATCTAGGATATTTTCTGTACCAAAATTATCATCGTCATCCAATATTCATCTAGGAACTTTGGCTAAATTCCAGAATGCTTGTTAATGACAACACTGTAATACTGCCTTATATATGCATATCACTTTGCAATTTACAACCTGATATGGTTTGTCTGTGTCCTCACCCAAATCTCATTTTGAATTGTAGTTCCCATAATCCCCACATGTTGAGGAAGGGATTCAGTGGGAGGTAATTGAATTATAGGGGCAGTTTCCCCCATAGTATTCTTGTGATAGTAAGTTCTCATGAGATCTGATGGTTTTATAAGGGGATTTCCCCTTTGCTTGGCTCTCATTCTCTCTCCTGCCACCTTGAAAGACATGTTTGCTTCTCCTTCCACCATGATTGTAAGTTTCCTGAGGCTTCTCCAGCCATGTGAAACTGTGAGTCAATTAAACCTCTTTTTTTTTTAATATATTACCCAACCTTGGGAATGTCTTTATTAGCAGTGTGAGAATGGACTGACACATAATCTAATTTACATAATCCTGTCTTGGTTAGTAAAATATTCTGTTTTAAGGGTGGCGGTACACATGCTATGACCTCAGTCCTTCTTAGCTTCTTGTTCAAGATCTGAAGCTGCAAGCCCACCCTGCAATCACTCTGTGACCCAGTCTGTGGAGTTTGCCATCCAGTGACAGAAAAATGTTTGGGATTTTGACACTTGAGTCAAATCATATGATTCACCAGTGTAATCATCTTCATTGGCTAAAATCACATACATTTGACTACAGCAGAGTGTGAACTCCAATGCCCATAGGGATCAAACTGTCTAAAATGAGCGAAGTGAAAGTGGCATTGGAGAGACAATAAGGAGGATTGGGGATTGTGTCAAATCCTGATTGTTCTGATTGTTGCCATGTGGGAACTCAAGCCTGATAGTAATCTCTGCAAAATTCTCAAGAAAAACATGAAATCTGTATACATGCTTGTAAAATATCCAAATTTTTAAAAAGAGAAATCCTTTAAAATATTTTGAAAACTCTGTGAGAGACCTCTGTGTTATGATGTAAAAAGTGTGCAACTGGAAGTCTCACATTATCAAAAAAGTTCATGATAAAACAGTTGTTTAAATGGGTGAGTATTGGTTAAATGCTCAAGAATTTCATCTTTCTATAACACAAGTCTTTACCCTGTAGAAATTTCTCTATAATGGTTGTTTTTATAAAGTGTAGTGCTGTAATACCTAAACATCAGGAAATATTGACTTCATACGGACTTCTGCTTGAGAGCAACATCTTCTGTCACCATAAGCACTATCCCTGAAACAGCACTTCTTAACATTTCTGTCACTTTCCTCAATGCTGTTAAGATAAACAATGCAAAAAGTTACTCAAACAAAAGAGATGGGTTATTAACTGTACACTGTACAGGGTTATACACTGTACACTTGTTGCTCCTGATTTTTATCTCATTAAAACCTGAAACACATATACTCTAATAAAATATGCACAAAGGTGGTCTTTTTATTTTCTGTTACTGTTTTCATTTTACTCTGAGACATCCCTTCCAGCTGCAGAAAAAAAAATACTTCAAAACTTACCAATTACAGTCTGAGGCCCTTTAAGTTGAAAATCCTATCTTTTGATTTGAACAGTTTTGTTTTAGATATTATGAAGGGAATTGGAAGTTCAATCCCTACCACATCTGCTTCTTTCCTCCTGCTCACAAGGCAGTTTCTGGTTTCAAGGATATTTTTTATCCTGATGGTGGGTAGTTGGGACTAAGGCTCTTCATGCTCATTTCTGGGCCTCCATTGACCCACCCAGGTGTCCAGCTTTGGTGCTCAACAATGAAGTCTCACTTAGTGAAATTCATATTATGTTTCTTAGGCACGTATAAAGCTTGTTGAGCAGTTAGCCGTCACTAACTAACTGGGTAGTCAGCCAACACTCCCTGCTGACAAAGCCCTACTTCTATTATTATTATTGTAAAATGTACATATAATAAAATTTACCATTTTAACTATTTTAAAGTGTACAAATAAGTAACATTAAGTACATTTGCTGTGTTAAGTAACATTAAGTGCGTTCACCATGTTGTGTGATCATCACCACTCTCTATTTCCATAACCTTTTCATCGGTCCAAATAGAAACTGTGTATTCAATAAGCATTCATCACCCATTCCCCCCTCTCTGGAGCCCCTGACAACTACCAATATATTTTTAGGTCTCTATGAATTTTTTTATTCTAGATATTTCATATAAATTAACCATATTATATGTGTTTGTGTGTGTGTGTGTGTGTGTGGCATATATAACTTATATGGTCTTCAAGAGCCATCCATGTTGTGGCATACATCCATGCTTCATTCCTTTTGTGGCTGAATAATATTCCAGGGCATAGATATATTATATTTTGTTTATCCATTCATCTCTTGATGAAAAGCTGGCTTGTTTCTACTCTTGGACTATCGCAAATAAAGCTGTTATCAATAATTGTGTACAAGTGTCTGTTTGAAAAGTTGTTTTCAATTCTTTTGGGTCTATTCCTAGGAGTAGAATTGCTAAGTCATGTAGTAATTCTTTACCTACTTCTATTCTTGTTGGCATGCAGATCATCTCATTCTCTGCCATTTCCTTCATCTCACCTCTAATTAATGGTGTCAACCCACAGTTTTCACTCTAGGGACACTTAGTTTCTCTTTACAGAAGCTCTTCAACAGGCCTGTAAGCTTGAAACTCAACCTTCTGGTAGGCTTGAAACTCAGCCTTCTAGAAAAGGGGTCCCCAACTCCCAGGCCACAGATGGGTACCAGTCCATGGCCTGTTAGGTACCAGGCCACACAGCAGGAGGTGAGCAGCGGGAGAGCAAGCGAACTTCACCTGTATTTACAGCTGTTCCCCATCATTCGCATTACTACCTGAGCTCCACCTCCTGTCAGATAAGCAGAGCACTAGATTCTCATAGGAGCACGAACCTTATTGTGAACTGTCATGTGAGGGATCTAGGTTGTGCACTGCTTATGAGAATCTAATGCATGATGATCTGTTACTGTCTCACATCATCCACAGATGGGATCATCTAGCTGCAGAAACACAAGCTCAGGGCTCCTACTGATTCTAGATTATGGTGAGTTGTAACTCTATTTCATTACATATTACAAAGTAATAATAATAGAAATAAAGTTCACAGTAAATGTAATGTGCTTGAATCATTCTGAAACCATCGCTGCCCCACCCCCTGACCTGGCCCTGGTGCATGGAAAAATTGTCTTCCAGAAAATCAGTCCCTGGTGCCAAAAAGGTTGGGGACCACTGTTCCAGATGGAGAGAGACACTTAGATATTTCTAAATCTCTTGTGTACCACATGTAGACAAGATATAAAACCAGCAGAAGTCTCTGAGGCTCAAGCCTCACCTTGTTCCTTCTATGCTTTTTTTTTTTTGCTATTCCTGAGCCTCATCGGATGTGCTGGGAAAGTGAAACATCTGTCTTGATGTTCTCACACCCTCTCTCCACCTCTCTGAGTATTCTAGCAGGTATTTTTTCTTATCTCATTACACGTCTCCCATCACCCCCTCAAACCTTCCCCTCACCCCGCCACACACACACACACGTGCACACACAAATACACACACACATAACCTATCTGGGTGTTTCTATTCTTTCCACCAAGTAGATTGCTTCAACTCTAAAGAGGACGGGACATTTCTCTCTAACATTCATTCTCCATGTCTTTTTTTCTTTCCGTAACTGGAAGCACTTTCACTTCCTGGCTGGCAAGGACTTCCACTACATTCTTTTGTAAGTATTATCTGCCCTTGTTTCTTTTTCTTAAGACTTTGCTTTTTTAAAACAGTGTTAGGTTCACAAGAAAATTGAGTGGAAGTTACCGATTTCCTATATATCCCTCCCCTACACATGCATAGCCTCCAACATTCTCAACATCCCCCACCAGAGTGGTACTCTCGTTACATACAACTGAGAAACTTACACTGACACACCCTTATCACCCAAAGTCCATAGTTTACACTAAGGTTCATTCTTGGTGTGGCACATTCTATGGACTTGAATAAACATACAATTGCATTTATCAATCATTACAGAATCTCATAAAATACCTCCACTGCCCTAAGCATCCTCTGTGCTCACCTCTTCATCTATTTCTCTCCCTAACCTTGGGCAACCACTGATTTTTACTATTTCCATAGTTTTGCCTTTCTAGAATGTCATATAGTTGGAACCACACAGTATGTAGTCTTTTCAGGTTGGCTTCTTTTGCTTATTGTCTTCTTTCACTTAGTAAAAAGCATTTAAGTGTCCACCATGTCTCTTCACAGCTTGATAGCTCATTTATTTTTAGTGCTGACTAATATTCCACTCTCTGGATATACCACAGTTTATTTATTGATTCACCTCTTGAAGGACATCTTGGGTACTTCCAAGTTTTGACAATTATGAATAAAGCTGCTAGAAACATCTGTGTGCAGATTTTTCTGTAGACATCAGTTTTCTACTCCTTTGGGTGAATATCATGGAGTGCAATTGCTGAATTACATGGTAAGACTATGTTTAGTTTCTAACAAACTACTAAACTGTTTTCCAGACTGGCTATATCATTTTGCATTCCCACCAGCAACGGATGAGAATTCTTTTCGCTCCACATTCTTTCCAGCATTTGGTGTTGTCAGTGTTCTGGATTTTAGCCATTCTAAAAGGTGCATAGGATTATTTCATTGTTGCCTTTCTCTGTTGACATTGATATGGGCCATCTTCTCATTTGCTTATTTGCCATCCGTATATCTTTTTTGGTGAGGTCTCTGTTAAGGTCTTTGGCCCATTGTTTTAAATTGGGTTGTTTGCTTTCTAACTGTTGAGTTTTAAGAGGTTTTTTTTTTTTAAAAAAGACATATTTTAGATAAAAGTCTTTTATCATATACATCTTTTACAAATGTTTTCCCCTGGTCTGTGGTTCATCTTTCAGTTATCTTGACAGTGTCTTTCCCAGAGCAGAAATTTTGTCCTTTCTTGGAGTTATAATGGCAGAGGGCTGCAGGACATTATGATTTAGGGAGAAAAGAAACATGTAAGTTTAATATTTTAAATATGAAATTATCTTCCTTTCATATATAATAGCAGTCTATGTAATGCAAATCATGTGCCTTAATTAATTGCTTAATTTACATTCAGTTTGTTTAGGCATTCTTGTACGGTAAGAAAAATTGCATGCATTTTTAAGCATCTGGAAATACAAATATGTCTGGGAAAATTTCAACTGGGTCCACATGTCCCATGCTCATGTTCTCCAAGTTTACCCACAGAATAATGATGACACCTTTCATTGTGCTATAGGTAAACTTCTACTACAGCCATCCATTTGACACCAGTGAGGTTTCAGCCCCAAAAACTGTGTTTTAGCTCCTGTCCTCTTCAAGGTATGAAGCTACAAACCCATCCTACAATCACTCTATAACCTGGCCTGTATCCCAAAACCCCTTGCACTACATTGACTGGGAGGTAAATCATCAACCAAGTAAAGGTGTAGTCAAGAGAGCAGGGAGCTACACAGAGGAAAAAACTGTTAGCAATGTCAAAAGTTCGAGAGAGTAGAGGTATAATGAAGAGAGAGAGAGAGGGAGAGAAATGTGTTTTAACTACCATAGTGACCGAAACTACAGCAGAGCAGTAGAGCTTGACACCCTAGATAAATAGCTGGTACTTGCAAAAGTTTTTTGTATCAGTCTCTGCATCTTTGTAGCACTCGTTACGGTTGTAATCCATTTAGTAAATAATGGTTTAATGTTGACTTTCCTCAAAATCTTTAAGTTCCATTAAGTGTAAAGACTGTAGCTCCTATACAATATCTCTGTATCTTGTATCCACAGAATTAAACAAGATTCCTGGTACAGAGAAAACGCTTAAGACTTAACTGTGGAATGAATGCAAATTAGCAAAAGTTTAAAGACACGCAGCCTTTTGGGTATTGTGGGTGAGAGTGGAAATTTCAAATGTCAATTATAGTTCTAGTCCCATTATTAACAAGCTGCCTAAGCTTGAACACAGCATTTAATTTCTCTGATCCTCAATTCTCTCTTCTAATAAGGTGACCGGATTAGCTAAAGATCTTTCCATCATTAGTGCCTTTTTACTAAATTCAGCCCTGTTTTTTATTTATGAATGAAGATTTAGTGTTTTCTTCTTAATAGACACACATTTTATTCACAGCTCCAGGCCATTTATTGCCTGCATTTAACTTACTAAAATGAAGATATGTAGTAATTCTACTTCCCTTAACTTTTTGTCTCTTTATCTGGTTCTGGGGATTCTAACTTTCTTCACTTCCTTCTCAAATTTAGGTGT